ATAGGGCAATTAGTACAGATTTAGCTACTCCACCCCTCTCCTAGTAATCACTTAGGCAGGATAAAACTTGTCTGCTTTTAAGCATCACAGAAATTTACCGTGTGCTTTGTCTGATGCTTATGAGACTGAACACTGCCTTTAATATCATGCAATTCGTTTACTTCAGGGACAGACTTCTGTGTCCGTACAGCAAACACTCCTCACAAGAGAATGACAGGTCTGGATTGTGCACAGAATAGTCGGCAGACATAAGGAAAGAGAGGGAGTTGTTATAAGTTGTACTGCCTGGGGAGCTAATTAAGATTTGTAGATTTGAGTTTACTCCTTGAACATAGCAAAGGGAAATCCTATCAAAGAGCTAAGCTAATTCAAAACGAAACAAATTCACAAAAAACCTTACCAGCAGTTATTTAATTTGATGGTCCTAATGGAAGTTCTATCTCAGGAAGTCCTTGGGCTGCTGATTGAGAGGGAAACCAGGGATGACTGATTTTCCATACTCTTTTCCAAAGCATTTGCAGCTTGCCATTGTTGGAGAAAAGATATTAGGTTGGATGGACATTTTAGACCTTCCCATATAATTCTGTTAGGCTAAGTCATGCCTCATTCCATGTCTTTCGTAAGTTCCTTCAGTCTACCGATCTTTTAATGGTGTGTACAAAATACTGATGTAAAGATATCAATAAGGACTGCCTAAGCTCTCGTGTGAGTGCCTGGACCCTACAGAGCTTAAAGATGCACTATGAGAATCAGTATCAATGTTTGTCATTGTGTATCAGCCCATCCCAGTTACCGATGGCACTAACAGTTCCTTTAATTGCATCAAGAACCCTAATGAGCTTTGGGACAGAATTAGATCAATCAATTGGTGAGAAGGCTTCATATGATGTATTTGCCTGTGACAGAAGATAGATAAAAGAAGAGTCAGAGGCACATCTGGGCTTCTCCAGTGTCATGTGCCTGGCAGATTACTGAAAACATATTCTTTCTGTTTTGCAGCTTGTGATCTCTGCACTTTTGACAGTTCCCTGTGCATTGTGGGTTCTCTCTTTTGTGTAGAATTATTTAGTTCATTCCTCCCCCACAGAAAAATCTTCATTAAGAACATGAAAAGTGCTCCTTATACCGAAGGGATATGTCTTGTAAATTTCAGAATGTAAAGTGGTTTAAGCGGAAAGTCTTTTATACTTGTCATTGCGTAAGTAAACTCAGTTGATGCTGCTTTTTTAGGTTTTTTACCAAGGGAGAGTTTTCCATTGCACAGCTAGGAACAGGACCCATAAGCTTCTATGCACGGATTTCTCTCTTGCCACTAATATGCAGCACCAGCAGCATTTGTTAGGCAACTCAGTACCTAACATAGCTAAATAAATCTGCATTTTGCCAGTCTCTTGAGATACACTCATGGGCCAGACGGCACTGGTCAGACTAGTGAGCTGTGGAGAAGCATTGACCGTTGACATCCATTCTTCTCAAATTGGCTGCTGACTTGTTGGATGATTCTATGCAGTTCCAACCTCTGGGCTACAGTTGGGTGATCTGTAACCTTCCTTTCTGCCTGGATTGGAAGGGTTTGCTAATGGAACTGGGGCAACCTGCATGAAAGGTTGCGATTATGTGGTTTGCATTATTTCACTGTTAAAATCTTTCATCCCCTCAACCCATTTGGAGCAGCCAAGATCTTTCTGCTTTTGTAAAACGTTCACTCAAGCTTGTCAATGCCTCGTACCTGATGCTGTCACAGTTTACCCATGCACCAAAACTCCCAGAGGCCAAATGAAAGTGCAGTACAATTCACTTTGTTTTCACCCACAGGCCAGGCACACAGCCCTGTACGCCAGCACACCTCCCTTAGCTTCTCTGGAAGTGTGCTGACGCATGCGAGCGGAGCCTCTGACCCGCAGGATATGGCTTTCTCAGCTTTGGCAGCACCTACGTGGCCTCGTTTCCTGCTGGAACTGGTCTGCTCTGATGCAGAAAGTGCCTACTCAGCACTCTGGTGCAGCTGACACAGCTCAGACTGCCTTTTCGCGCAGAGCTTGCAGCCCCTGGCTCCCTGGGGGCAGTGTTATTGAAATCACCGCCCTCAGTCACTCTGGGTGAGACCCGCTGTGCAAATCCCCTTTGCCTCTCCACAAAGTCACATCTATCAGGAGACGTAACGACAGGCTTTTGCTGTCCCGTCCTCCCTCCCTGGCTGCTATTCTTAACCTGTCTTCTTCTATCAAAAGGTCTTACTAACATCCTCAAATCTGTCTCCAAAAGCTCCTGCAGGATTCCTGTGAGCAGAATCGTGGGTTGCCCTCGTGCAGTGCAGCGGCGGGATATGGTAGCACCCACTGCAACTGGCACAGGGCTGCTTTGGCTGGGCTCTGGCACTGGGAGAAATGTCTCCCCAAGGCTGCAGCTCTCACTGTGTGTAGATGGACTGGGGTGGGCGGATTGCCTGCTTTCATACCTGATATGTTGTTAAGGGAAGTTATGCTTGTTCTGAGTGGTGTAGTGTAGTTTGCTACTCACCTGCAGCAATACACTGTCTCTCTGAACTTCTTTACCTGGACCAATCAGCGCAGTTACAGTTTATCGCCCTCCCACACCTCATGCAGGCAGCATGCAAAGATGCTACTGGCCTGCCTGAACCTTATCATGGAGACATGAGTTATGGCCGGGTCTTCTTCAGAATCCAGCAGCTGGTAGCTCCCATCGCCCAAGGAATCCTAATTACCAATGATTAGAGATGGATAAAATCCAAACTGATTCAGTGTTGCCAAGCATGGAGGGAGTTTGGATCTGTATTCAAACTTTCTCATCCCTTTAATGGGTGAAATTAACTTTGAACTGTAGCAGTGCGGAGCTTCTGAACAACATGGGTTAGGATTAAACACTCTACCCTGGTATTTTTCCATGGCTGTTTTGTGGACTGGTGGGTGGGAAATATTGTTTTGTGGCCCCAGCTCTACGTCAACGGGACAGACACTATGTAAGAGCTTCCAAAATGTAAACATCATGCTTTTTAGGTCTCTGGATGTTAAGCAATGTTTACACTGTGTTTGGGGCTTTGATGCTGGTTTATTTGTTGCCATTTATTTCAGACTGATTGGCAAGCTGCTAGATAGGGTGATGTTGTTACCAAAGTTTTCCTTTGCTCCAGTGTAAGGTCTCCTTCCTCCATTATCTTTTTCTTTCAGGGTTATGAATGATACTGATGTATCTGGGTATGATCTGATGTTTTATGTGGTGCAGCTATACTTTCCTGGATAGGTGAAATCCTTACTGCTGATGCTGTAATGTGCTTTTTCCATTTGCTCTCTCTTCAATGAGAGAACTTTTTTTTTTTAGTTCAGGAAACTTGCTTTTGTTACTACTGCCACGATTATGTTTGGAACTGTGTAAAAGCACAGGTGATTTATTATGTTTTTCTTAGCTGTTGCTTCAGGTTTAATTATTCCAATTTGCAGGGCACTACTAATTCTGGCAACATGAGATTTGGGGGTGTTTTGCAAGAGTGTTTAGAGCCTCCATTATGTGTACTTTCTGCATCCTTAGGTGTGTGCGAGATGTGGAAACCTGATTAAGTTGTCAAACTTAATCAAACTGTCCTTATTCAGGTAGGAAGCGAGATTAGATACTAGAAAAAGCTTTCTAACCACAAAGTTAGTCAAGGGCTGGAATAGGGAGGTGAGTGGCCCTCATTATGAAAGGTTTTTAAATATAGGTTATACAAATATTTATCAGAAATATTCTAAGTATAGCCGATCAGCTTTTCAGAAGGATGTTGGACTAGATGTTGGAAGAAAACTGAAGACCTCTTCTAGCCTTATTTTCTTTGATACGCTTTTATGCTCTCTCTGTGTTGTCTCCTTTGGTAGAAATACTAAAACCTTGAACAGGCCACAGAAAAGACATTTAAGCTCTTTATATCCCAAGGAATAACAACATTTTGTCTCCGACCTACTTCGTCCTATTCAGACACAGATAGCATCTTGCTCTCTTATCTCCATTTGCTGCCATATCCTCCAAGACTTTCTTCTGTTTCTGCTTTTCTTAAGTTCGGATAATAAATCCTGCTTCTCTGTGTTTCGCACTTTTTTAAAAACATTCCAGGCTGGAAACAAAGTACCCACACACATACCCACAGCACAGTTTGTTGTCAGAAAAGCAGGGAATCCTTCCCTAACCTCAGGAATGTCCCTGGAAGAAGTGCTTGCCTTTTGCTCTGTTGTCAGGAATGGTGTTGCTACACTTTGGCAGCTGC